AAAAACAAATAACGATGGTGCCAGGCGGACCTCTCTGGGGAGCGCATTCCATAACTTAGGCGCCACCGCTGAGAAAGCCCTCCAATAGGTGCTTGCAACAACCACACACAGAGTTCAACTGAGTACATATTTAAACTGGATCAACTTTGCTGATGAAAATGGACTTCCCCACCCCATCCTTCCTATAGCAGCGCCTCCAACCTCTTGCAAATGCTACAGAATGGCTGAGTTTGCATGACTTATCCTCCAAATCAAGGCCACTTCCCACAGGTTCACTAATTTGGGGGAAACAAACCACCCTGTCAACCCATGATTTGTTTGAGGGCTTGTTTGACTCACAATGGGTTGTTATATCATCTGAACCCAGGAAACCAATTCTATCGTGGGTTTTGGGGTGCAGCAAAAAATCCTTGTCACTTTTTGCGACCTCACTGATGACAGCCACTCCACTAGCTAACCCCTGCTTTCATTGTAGGTCATTCAGAGAGATACAAGCTGTCTGATTTATGCAGTCCTGCCTGGTCAATGTCCTTCTAAGTTTCAGAATTCAACAGGAGTGAAGGTCAGTTGGTAACATAATTGAAAACTGGCTAATATGTGCACAGTTGCCAAGCTGTCCAGTGAAAATTACCAGTAACGGGGAAAAGAAATGATGCACTGAAAGAGGGTAGTGCCAAGATCCCCATTTTAGCAATTCAATCCTCTCTTAGTGGGAGAAGAAATATACACAGATGAAACGACTGCAAAGTAAACAGCAGCATTATAGAACGATGGAATAAAAGGCTGTATCTGGAAGCACCTCCTCATTTGGGAACTCTGATTCCCCGATAAGCTATACTTCTACTCTAAAGTGAAGTGAAGTTGGAAGTTAGAGCTTCACTCTGAAGTGAAGTGAAGCTAAGATTCAATCAGTTAATATGAACAGGACATTTCCCGTTTCATGCACACTGACAATGTATGATACTTTGCAATCTTTTGAGTGCGCTGCCTTCGCAACTGAGGAAACATCTGGGAATCTCCGCATATGGATACCCGATGTCTACATCAAGGGCTTGAAGGCAATTCTATTTTGCTGTATGAACAAGGTTCCAACTAATAGTGAGAACAATTAGAAAAAGCAGGGGGCCTCATTCTCTTTGTAACCCCTCCATCCTGCCCAGGAGAAGCAGCTGCTGAGAGCATCCATCAACCTCTGCCCCTTTACATCTCTCTGTTCCCAAAATAAATCTTCTAAAAAGACCCCTTGCTGCACTTCCCGTCAACCAGAATCCCTTCACTTTTCAGACTCCTAAGCTCCAAGCTCTGACATGCATCTGTCTACATGCAAACACAACTTGCCTCTCCCACCAGCTGTTTATTTGCAGAAGCCCAGAGGCATTACTCTGATCTGCAAATGAGAGGCTGTGGACCTGCAGTTAAGGCTGCCTTGAAAAGGGAATCCCACTAAGAGCAGGAATCACCCCTTTTTTGTTAGAGTCTGTTTGATCACACTTCATTAAAACACCACCAGCTCGAACCTATTCAAGGCAAATTCCCAACATCTTTTTACTTCTTGCTCTGCTAAGGTATTACAACACTGGGCCAGGAGACCAGCAGTCTTCTCAGCAGTGGAATCCATCCTTTCAAACTTCCTAGAAAGTGAGATTCCCAAAACTTTTCTATTTATCCAAACTGTTCTGGAATTTATATTGTTATATTGGCCTTGATGTTTTGCACACTGCATGAAAGTGGGTTTGACCCAAGCTTAGTCATACGTACAATAGACTCTTT